TTAGGATTTCTAGAAGCAATCTCCATATCCCATAACTACGTCCCCCCATAGGTCTTAGCTAGTGGATCCACCTAAAAGCTAAAATGTACGTTCTACCTTAGGCAAGTAGAACACCTCTTTTTGGTGTGGGGGTAGAACACCGGATTCCATGTAGCTCACATGGTCTATGTCGGTTAATGTTATTCTTCCCTATATGATATGAATATGAACTATGATAAGAACATGGACTTTAATTGTGACTTCTTAAGAGGGACTACTTAGTATGAGTGAGGTATGGGACTTCACTTATGCATTGCACAAGTAGACTTCAAGAGGGGTTATGGTGAGGTTCTCTTATGTTATGAAGACTTATGAATTAAGAATGCAAGGTATGTATGAATGTTAAGGTTGACTTTACTTGTTACCACTTATGAACATGAATGACTCCTTACTTATGTATGTTGGTTATGAATATGGTAAAGTATGATATGTATGTTGTCGGTGGTCTAAATGTGATACTTGGCATTTGGTAGGGTTATGGGATCTTACCATTGCATTGCACTATTGTGGCTTTGGGTTGCTTATATGTTGGTTTGTTGGTTTAACTTATGTTTCTTCATAAATGTGCATAATGGCTTTTAAACTTGATAAAGGCATGATTTCAACTAAATGTCCCTTTTTATGCATGTTTTAAGGATTTTTATGCATGGCTTCCATACTTGGTACAATTAATTGTGCTAACCCATATTCTCTACTTTTACCATGAGTGTAGGTTTCGGCCGTTGATTTGTACTACTTCTTTCAAGTGAAGCTTGAGTTGACTATTCCCTAGGCTTGGTGAGTCCTCAAATTCGAGGACAAGATTCTATTGTTTCTAGTTCTATTGTACTTTCTACTTTCTTGATGTAAGGGCTTAGACCCTAATTGTACTCCCTATTGTACTAGATGGTGATTGAGACAAGTCTAGATTCTTATTTTCGTTTATGACAAGGAGTTGACTTCTATTGTAAAAGTTTTAAATTTTTTCGCATTATTCTATGTCTTTATATTATGATTATGCTAAGGGCTTGTATGAGACCCCTTCGGGGTTAAGTACGCCATGTTGCTCCTAAGGGGTAACCCCATGGCGTGACAATATCTTACAGTTGTACTTTCGCACAATGATTCATTTGTACCCCACTGATATATATTTTGATCTATGGACTATAAGTTCCAAAACATCACTTTTCTAAGTGAAACAAAATATACTTGAATAGTGCATTTTATTTGGCCAATCATTTATCTGTCCACATTATATGACAGATTCGAATTTAAGATCCTCGTAACCACTTATAGCATTGAGTGCTACTTCATATCAAAGATACCGTCGACGGTTATTTTAATTCGATTCCAATTTGACATAACTTATCAAGATCTCTTCATTTTTCATCATTTTCGGTACCTGAACCTTTGTCAAGGTTTTATGAAGTGTTATGTCATAGTGCTCTTTCAAAGCACTTACCTCATTACCATGACCATTTTGATAATTTGCTCCTCTCCTTCCTCAAGGAGTTTTACGTTTGGAATCTATTGGTCTATCACGCTTCTGGCGTACCATAGACTCTGTCCTTCAAGAACTATTTATTGGAGCATTTGTAGCTTAATTAAAATATTGGGTCAGCAAATACATCTGACAAATTATTTGCAACATTTTGCAAATGAATTATCTCTTGAACTTCAAGTTCACATTTTTTAACGAGGATCAAGATAATTCACCTCACACATAATTTTCAGCTGCTAAACACATCTCCCCTAATGTTAGGAAATCTAACATTTACCCTCAACCGCATTTGGGGATCCATCTTAGTGTGTGGTGGAGCAATAAAATCATATGTGCACACGTCAAATTTTTAGATGGAAATTATTTGGTTCCTGACCCTGAACCAATTGTGATGGGGGAACCTTGTTGGCTTGATGCATACATGTTAAATAAACTCATCTCATACCAAATTTTATTTGAGAGATTTGTTCTCATAATCAATGGTCTAGCTATAATTGGAGGCAAACAATTTCTGCTAAACCAACCAGTATTATCAACATAATTTTATAGTTTGGAATTGTGCTCATAATTTAACAATTTAAGCAAACAACCTTACAAAAACCAATTCGTAAGTTGATACAAATGCATATGTGACCATACCATAGATGACATCTATTAAATCATAATAGTAAGTCGTCCACATTGCAGGTGAACGGGCCCATATTCACCTTTTTATATGTTCCAAATAATTTCAGGGAATACAAATCCCAACCTTAACTGGTACAATGATCATTTTATCATGAGAACAAGCAACACAAGAGAATTCTTGAAGAATCTTTTATTTCTTCAAACATATAGTTGCTTGAATTCTCAATTTCTTTTGCATCACATTTGAACCAGAATGGTCAACCGGTTATGCCAACTGACATTTATTATAGTAAACTTCTAGTTTACTTTTGCATGTGATTCCTTCATCATACCCATATCTTTATACAACAAACAACGGGAAAAAATGGGTAATCTTATACTTTGGTTGTAGTAATTTGAAGATATTAAATCTTCTCATAATTTATAGTCT